TCACGTGGAATCTTCCCAGACCAGGGCTCGAACCCATGTCCCCTGCATTGGCAGGAGGATTCTTAACCACTGCACCACCAGGGAAGCCCAGCTTATCTATTTTATACATAGTAGTTTGTATCTGTTAATCCCATACCCCTAACTTATCCCTCCTCCCTTCCCTCTCTCCTTTGGTAACCAGAGTTTTTCTGTATCTGTTAGTCTGTTTCTGTTTTGCATATACATTCATCTGTATTATTTTTTAGATTCCATTTATATATCGGTAGTATTTGTCTTTCTGACTTATTTCACTAACCATGATATTCCCTAGGACCATCCACATTGCTGCAAGTGGCAGGATTTTATTCTTTTTTATGGCTGAATAATATTCCGGTGTATGTATATACATACTTACATACATACATACATATATATATATAAAATCACATCTTTTTAATCTAATCATCTGTTGATGGGCACTTGAGTTGCTCCCATGTCTTGGCTCTTTTGATTTTTCTGGCCAAATGATTCATTGTTGCTGCTATGAACATTGGGCTGTATGTAACTTCTTGAATAGGCATTTTCATTTTTCTCCAATATATACCCAGGTTGTAGAATTGCTGGATCGTATGGTAGTTCTTTTTTAGTTTTTTGAGGAACCTCCATACTGTTTTCCATGGTGGCTGCACCAACTTACATTTTCACCAACAGTGTACGAGGGTTCCCTTTCTTCTACATCCTTTCTGACATGTTATTTGTAGACTTTTTGATGGTAACCATTCTAACAAGTGTGAGATGGTATCTCGTTTTTTTGGTGTTTTTTTCTTTTTTGGCTGTGTTAGGTCTTCGTTGCTGTGCGCAGGCTTTCTCTAGTTGCAGCGAGTGGGGGCTACTCTTCGTTGCGTTGTGCAGGCTTCTCGTTGTGGCTTTTCTTGTTATGGAGCACAGGCTGTAGGTGCGCGGGCTCAGTAGTTGTGGCTTGCAGGCTCTAGAGCACAGGCTCAGTAGTTGTGGTGCATGGGCTTAGTTGCTCTGTGGCATGTGGGATCTTCCCGAGCCAGGGATCAAACCTGTGTCCCCTACACTGGCAGGCAGATTCTTAACCACTGCGCCACCAGGGAAGCCCTACCTTATTGTTTTGATGTTGCATTTCTCTGATAATTAGCAGTGTTGAGCATCTTTTCATGTGCCTGTTAGCCATCCGTATGTCTTCTTCAGAAAAATGTTTTTTCAGGTCTTCTGCCCATTTTTTTGATTGGGTTGTTTTTTTGCTATTGAGTTGTATGAGCTGTTTGTGTATTTTGGATATTAATCCCCTGTCGGTCACATCATTCACAAATTTTCCCTCCCATTCTGTAGGTTGTCTTTTCATTTTAACGGTTTCTTTTGCTGTGCAAAAGCTTTTAAGTTTAATTAGATCCCATTTATTTTATTTTATTTTTTGGTTTGTTTTTTGGCCTTAGGAGACTGATTCAAGAAAATACTGCTATGATTTATGTCAGTGTTCTGCGTATGTTCTCTTTTAGGAATTTTATGATTTCTATTCTTACGTTTAGGTCTTTAATCCATTTTTGAGTTTATTTTTGTATATGGTCTCAGAGAATGTTCTAATCTCATTGGTTTACACGTGGCTGTCCAGTTTTCCCAGCAACACTTGTTGAACAGACTGTCTTTTCTCCATTGTAGATTCCTGCCTCCTTTGTTGTAGATTAGTTGACTATAGGTGTGTCGGTTAAAGTAATGTAGTTGTGGATTTACTATTGCCATTTTGTTAATTGTTTTCTGGTTGTTTTGTGATTTCTCTGTTCCTTTCTTCCTCCCTGGCTGTCTCTGTGATTTGCTAATTCTCTATAATTGTATGCTTTGATTCTTTTCTCTTTTACATCCCTACTTTAGGCTTTTGTTTTAGTGGTTACCATGAGGCTTACATAAAACATCTTTTATATATATATATATATATATATATATATATGTCTTTTAAGCTGATAACTTCAAATGAATACAGCTCGCCACCCCCCACATTTATTTGATGGCACAATTTGTACCTTTTTACATTGTGTATCCATTGACAAATGTTTGTATAGTTTTTATTTTTTTTTTGTCAGAGTTCTGAATTTAAGTATATACTTATCTTTACCAGTGGTTTCATACTTTCGTATGTTTTCCTGTTACTAAAGAAAACTAAGCCTCCTTCCATGTCAGTTTGAAGAACTCCCTTTAACATTTCATGTAAGGCTGGTCTAGTGGTGATGAACTCCTTCAGCTTTTGTCTGGAAAACTCATTTTCAATTCTGAAGGACAACTTAGCCAGGTACTCTTGGTTGGCAGTTTTTTTCTTTTAGCACTTTGAATATAATTTATGTGTCTCATTGTGGGTCTCTTTGGATCCATCTTGTTTGTTACTCTCTAGGTTTTCTGGATCTGGATGTGTGTTTCCCCAGATTAGGGAAGTTTTCAGCCATTAATTTTTTGAAAAAGTTTTCTGCCCCTTTATCTCTTTTTCCTTCTGGGACCTCTTATTGGTCCATTTGATGGTGTCCCATAAGTCCCTTAAGCTATTGTAATTTTTATAATTATTTTTCCTTTTTGCAACTCAGATGGGATGAATTCTGCTAACCTGTCTTCAAGCTTGCTTATCCTTTCCTGTGATTGATCTAGTCTGATGTTGAATCCTGCTATTGAACTTTTCAGTTCAGTTTTACATTCAACAATTTTGTGATTTCTGTTTGGTAGTTTTAAATATTTTCTATCTCTATTCAAATTCTTTGTTCATTCATTGCTCTCGACCTGGGTGAGCATCTTTACAACCATTATTTTGAACTCTCTCAGGTAAGTCACTTTGTTTTATCAAGATCTGCTTTGGATATTTATTGTGGCCTTTTGTTTGGAACATTATATCTTCATTTCTTCCTTTATTGGTGTCTATGCATTATATAAAACAGCCACCTCTTCCAGTCTTGGATGGTCTCTTGTAGGAGATGGTCGTTCAGCCCAGCCTGAGCTCTTAGTTGTCTCTCAACCTTCTGTGACTGTCTGAGCCTCCTTCTTTGCTTTGCGTGGCTTTTTTAGAGGGTATGCTAAGACCTGTCTGTGTATCCAAAGCCAGGGACTGCAATTAGCACCTAGATGCAGACGGATTAGAACCTGGACCCTGAGGCTGCAGCTGAGAAAAAATGTATTGATAGTTAAGCCCTGTCCAGGGAGAAAAGTAAATGGGCATTTTTTTTCCCCCCTGTTCCCTTTGTGCTGAGCACAGGTGTACAATCACCAGGGCATGGTGGGAAGGGAGCTCCTGCACCCATTAAGAATTGTATTTATTTTTGTTTGCTACAGTCCAGTGGAATTCCTGAATGCAGGCCCCAACTGGCTATCAGAGCCAGATGACCCAGGGACTGTTCCTTGGGTGTCAGACATAAAAGCCAGGGCACAGATGTGTACAAGCTCCTTGCAGGGAGATACTAGTGACTGGAGTGAGCTGGAAGGAGAAGGTGAGAGAGGTGTCCTTCAGCTTCCCCAGTCTCTGGGGAAGACTGCTGCTGCTCCTAGCACCTGCTAGATTAGGAGCCCGGCCTTAGGCAACAGCTTTTAAAATGTGCAGATGAACTTCTTTCAGGGGAGGACTGGGAGATGGGCAATTCTAACTGCTCCCTCTGCACCTGGCCCTGAGGGGACAGTCACAGTGCATGCTGTGTGCCCATTAAGAATGCTTCTTTATTATCTATAGCCTTGTGGATCTCATGAACACAAGCCCTGCTGGCTTTCAGAGCTAGGTATTTTGGGAACCCATATCTCCAGTGGGAGTCTTAAAAGTTGGAGCACTAGATGTGGAATCCAAACCCTTCACTCCTCAGGGAGAAGCTAAGAATTGGGAATTCTCTCCTGATGCACAGTGCTGTGCCAGGGTTGGGGTGTATGGTGAGACAGACTGTATATTGGCCTTTCCTACCCATTTTGGTGTGGGTATTTATTTTCTCATTTGTTTAGTATGTAGGAGCTGCCCAGCTAGTTTCTGGATCTCTTTTAGAGGGAACTGTTCCAGGTGTAGCTGTACATATGGCATATCCATGGAAGGAGGGGAGCTCTGGAGCCTTCTTGGTCATCTCTGCCTTATCCCTCCTCTTAACATGGATGACTGAGAACTGCTTTATTTACAAGGGCAGACAGACTCATCATGTGTCCCCTCTGAAGTTGAAGCTGGTTTTAAAAATTGTGGCCATTGTTGGTTCAAGTACTGTTGTAATTTTAATTGTAATGTGAGAAGGCCCTAATGCATTGCTAGAAGCTTTCCTTATGAGTCATTTCTACACTCCTGTATAGTAAGTTGCATAATTCTTCTGTAAGTAAGTTTGTCACACAGTATTTATAAAAGCTAAAACTGAGAGGAATTAGGTGGTCATAGGGTTGTGCTACATTATCTGATTTAATGTACTGTGACTACTTGTGAGGAACATTTTGGCCCTTCTTATCATGAACACTTGTGTTCTTTGTGAACTTTGAGTTCAAAGTTCTTGTGAACTTTGAGTTCATATTGCTCTCTAGAACGTTTCACTAGCTATTTTGTTGACATCATTTGCTAGTTTTCATACCTACTGGTTTATCTTCTCTTGCCACATCTTTTATTACTGGATGAACTTAACATCTAAGTTGATATGCAGTTCAATTCCTTAGCCATGCTCCTTCCTCAGAGGGAGGAATACTGGTATCCAGTACTGGTATTCTGATTCACTGGGGTTTAACTATGTACAAACAGCAGAAGCAACTATAGTGTCACTTTTTCTTTCCTGAAAATGTGGGGAGTAGGGGACAGAGGGCATTAAGAAGCTGGTTTGTATTTTTCAAAAGTTCCACAAGTGATTTTGATACAGAAATTTTTTGTGCAGTTTTTTTTGATAACTTTGTTATTTATCCTGCTATTCTGTTTTTACACCAAACCACAGTAGAATTGCTTTTCTTATAAATATCTTTAACAAACCAATTTTAATTTAGATTTTAGCATTAGTTATGGTTTCTTTTTCTAATAGGTATCATCTTTAAGAAATGAAAAGCGAGGCTCATCATATCTCGTCTCTGCCCCAGAAGGTGGTTCAGTGGAATTTGTTGACCAGCATTCTCAGGGCACAGGAGCATATTACATGGAAACCTACTTAAAAAAGAAGCGAGTGTACTGAGTTAAGTTCTCTCCTTATAAACTCATAAGGTTCTTTGCAGTATCTCTGCTGTTCATTGCTGCCTTAACTACATTCAAACTAGCCATATCCTTTAAATACGGGTTTATAATTTCCCAGAAGGAACTGTGTTGTGCAGCAGGCAGAATTGCCAAATTAAAAAAATAAGTAGCAATAAGAAGAGACATCAGTTGAGGACATATTCCACTAGAATTAGATGCATCTTAATCAATGTGATACTAACTTATAGTCCATTGGAGAAATTAACATGTTCCAATATTCCTTGTTTAGGACTGGGAATAATTTTGACACCACATATAAAAGTTTGAGGCAATAAATGGGAAACATTCTTGTTTCCTGGGCCTTAGAATAAATTTCTTTCTTTTTTTTTTTGGTGGTACGCGGGCCTCTCACTGTTGTGGCCTCTCCCGTTGCGGAGCACAGGCTCCGCGGCCATGGCTCACGGGCCTAGCCGCTCCGTGGCACGTGGGATCTTCCCAGACGGGGCATGAACCCGTGTCCCCTGCATCGGCAGGCGGACTCTCAACCACTGCGCCACCAGGGGAGCCCCAGAATAAATTTCTTATAAGCCAGTGTGCATTCCAGTTTATCGATACTGTCCCTAGAAGTAATCTCATTTCAGATTTTTAGAATTTTTCCTAGAATTACAAGAATGCAAGTACACAATGCAGTGATCGGTAATGTTATAAAGATGCTCTACACATAAACTTAATTATTACCCCCACACCAGTCATACAGTATAAAACTCAAACACAGTGACATCCAAGGTATACACTACTACAGATGCTTTTACTCTTAATATGTTATTTACCATTTATACCTCTTGTGAAAAACACAAGGTTTTTTTTTTGTTTTTTTTTTTTTTGAAGTAGCTTTGCTGATCTAATTTCAGGGACTGGCAAACTACTCCCTGCAGTCAAAAAAACAGTCCTCCAGCTGTTTTTGTACTGCCTGCAAGCTAAGAATGATATTTTTTACATTTTTAAATGTTTGGAGGAAAAAAATGTATGACTTGAAATTCAAATTTCAGTGTCCATACATAAAATTTTATCGGAACACAACCATGCTCATTCACTTACATATCATGTATGGCTAACTTCTGTGCTACAATGGCAGAGCTGAGTGGCTGCAAAGCCTCAAATATTTACTATCTGGCCCTTTATAAAGTTCGCAGACTCCTGATCTAATACCTTTAATTCCCTAATCCTTTTACTTCACACCTACGAAAAGACCTTTAACTTTTACAACAGATTTGTAAGTGGCAAGGAACAAAAAAGGTTTCTGTAATTTCATAGCATAGTGATGATTCATTTACTAGAACAGGGCACATTTTGGTCATCAGATGCCCTATTTCCACAATATTGTAAAGCAGTCAATTCTGCCCTTTCTGAAGGAGTGTTACGGAGTAACAGTATTTATAACCATTTTGAGATAATAAGCTATACCTCACTCTCTGCTTTGTCTATTATTCTTTTTCAGTGTGTTAGGCTGAAAAATTATCAGCTATTTAACCCAATTTACTTTCGAAAGAATTGTGTTTATTGCATATAACTTCTGAGTCACCATTTCCTGAAGACCTTGGTATTAAATGCATGAGAAACCCTTTTGCTATCTAGACATTTCTAAGTTTGTTCTTTGTTATGAGACATTAATTGATGATGTGGAGTTTAGGGGTCTCAGTGATCCTAGTCTTTTTGAAATAAGATCATTAAATATATTTAGGGGACTTATTGACTATGATAGAAGGTATCTCTCCTGTTTTAATTATGAAGTTTAAAATTGGTACACTTGAATGAACTGTAAAGAATTTTACTTGGTCTAATGTATTGCCTATAGTAACTTCTATTGGCAAATGACAGCTAGAAAGTTAAATTATTAGATAATTTCTAATAAGTATACTACCTATGAATAACTGATCAGGACAGGCATCACTCAGTTGTGACTCAGCAGATGAGTAATGGGTTCTTCATGCTCTGCACTTCTTCCCATTTTCCTGTGGCATTGAGCTTCAGTGCTTTGTCACACCTCTATGACAGTACAAATAGAAGAAAGGGAAGATGGTGAATTTTAAAAATGTAAGCAGGAAGAGGTTGAAAGAACTAAAAGGTATTTTGGGTTAGCAAGTGTGGGTCTGCCATCCATACTGGCCTGTGCCCCATTACTGCTGGGCCACAACAGATAAGTACAAATCAAGTGGTGTTAGTAATAAGGACCATTACCAGTGCTCTCCCCACCCCCAGCCTATACTGTTATTTTTCTATGTAAACAAATTGTTTGAAATGCTTTGAAAATGAACTCTTAATATTAAAAGGCACATGCATGTGAAGTCTCTAGTATATTTATTTGTATAAAGAGTAAACAAAGTGCATGTAGCGTGACCACAGGTTTGACATAGATCTTGGTGATGTAGGGGTACTGGACAAATTTGAATGGCTGTTGCCATTGAATCAATGCACAACTTTTTCAGGCTCAAAGGTGAAAAGTAATGGTATCAAACAAATGCTAGAAAGTATCAACAAAAAGTTTTTCAGACTTCCGGTCAAAAAGATCTTATGGTTCACACTAAATCAGAGATTTGACATTTTTGATTACCCAGCTACCTCCAAGCAGACTGAAAACTGTAGCTGGGTCTTTCAGGTTTTGCGCCATAGGGTGATGGTCAAAATAGTGATCGACTCTTGTAGACGGATGGTAAGTACTGAAACACTAAGAACAGTGCAATGTACATGGTATATATGCATTCAGCATCCAAAACCAATGCTGGCACAGCTTGCCCCAAAGTGGTAGAGTTATAAAAGGATACACATTGACATTTCTGAAAAGCAGGTATAACAGCATCCAGGTTCTTGGAATCAATTCTGATTAAAGGTATACTGTTTAGGGAAGCACTGGCACAGGTTTAGTTCTCAAGAATCAACATCATGCAGCAAAGTATCTATTCCACAGCTGCCCCCCTGGGTATGACCAGTTTTCTCAAAAATGGGTTCCGCTGGTCACCCAAGGCGACAGGAGCTAAGCCACTGCAGAAACAACTCAAAGTTTATGTCCTACTGTTGACAGGGATACACTCATCTTTTTGTATAGCAACAACAGTATACTAACTGGTATCTAATATTTCAAGAATGTTTCATCTATCACTGTTTAGATATTGAAATTTGAGGGCATATTAGAGTATTGGCCAAGTCCATCAATCTTTATCTTTGATTTATGTGCCAGAAAAACATTTCACATCAACTGGCAGCTAAGAAAAAGCAGTCATCTTGAGACTTGACTTTGGTCAGCTCCTCTTGTTTTGAAAAATCCCATTCTGGTACTCAACTGTGATAGTAAACTAACCAGACGAAACAGTGGTATATTCTTTCCAAAAGGAGGAGTGCTTAAGTGCTTTCTAATATTTTGGTTGTCATTATTTGTCACTATGTTACTGATGCCAAATTTAAAGAGGAAGTACTTACACATATTAAGCACCACACAGGGTGCTTTATACGAGGATACGTACCCCAGTATCTTTTTAGACAGAATACAAATTTTTTCCAGTTAGAACACATTTTTTTTTTAAATGGCTTGGGTATTGGCTGGGGGTAGGAGGACTTGATACACAGTAGAATTTAAATGTTATTCATGCTTCTTATTTTAGAAGCGCTTCAAATCCCTCAATAAGGTTCTGAAAGGTTGTCCGAATGGATGGTTGGAATTCCCAGCATTTTCTCATAAGTTGATAAACCTGTAAAAAGAAAAAATAACAGTAAAAATGTTTAGGAGCTTTTTAAAAAATTATAGAAACACCAAGAAGAACATAATTTTGAAAATGTGAATGACTTCCCTTAATAATACTAGAAAACAATATTTGAATAGCTTAAAATACAGAAAATGTGACACATCTATAGTTCATAAGTAACATTTGAGAAGCTCATGACTTAACTGACCTTGCAAAAAAACCCAGGTCATTAATTACTATAAACCAGTTTAAGGGTGAAGTTATACCTCAGTTTAGACTCCAAATTTCCTTACCGGCTGCTTCATTCTTTGGCTTAAACATACTATTCAGTACATCTTAAATAGTCTACAGAATTAAGTCTTAAAGGCTCAGTTCAGTTAGAAATACAGAAAACTGAATGTCACAATGCTGTGATAAGTGGGATAAACTTACACACAAAAATGCAATTATATGTATTTGTCACAGGAAGGCTACACCAACATATGCTCCTTTAGGGTGCTCACTGAGGTGAGCCTACTTCTGAAGGGAATCCCTTGCTTTGAACAAAACTTGTGGCTGTCATCTGCCCCAAAGATGATTTTCTCAGATATCTTATCTGAAATTCAGCTTCAGAAAACTGTTTTAAAAGAGTTTTCTACTCATTCCTG